TACAATATTGGGAAAAGAGCAAAAAGGAAAGCGGGGGGAAAAGCAAGAAAAGGGGGAAACAACGAGGAAAAGGTAGGCTTCTAACAATTCATTAATTGCCTTATTTTTCAATTACTTACAGAATAAAATGTATTTTATTATAATAGTTCTAAAATGAAATCAATATCAGATTAATTATTATAGCTCTATCAGATTATTTAAATTAATTAGGTGTATATGGATAAATTGAATAAATATAATTAAATATAATATGCTATAATTGTTTAATTAACTTCAAATAGACAAAATAGATAAACTACTTAAGAGAAAAACTAATAAGTTATTAGAGGTTATTTTCTGGCTCTAGTATCTTATGATATATAGTATAATAAGTTTACATCGAACCAAACATATATATATTGTCCATTAACTCTCTGTTGTAGTTTGACTCTATAGTCTTTTATCTTTGTTGTTATTATGTAAACTTATCTTTCTTCCAACCAAATATGGTTCCAAAAGTCTGGATCACCCTGTTCACCTTGATTATTCCGCCATCCAATTTAATCTATAGTCCTCTGTGTTCCTATTAGTAGAATCCACGTCCGGCCCCAAGGGTATAATGTTCAATATCTTATATCCTCTATTTAAGTCCTTATCGTCTGGTTAATCAGCTATTAGTCAATATTTGAATAGTTCAATCGAAACAGTTCAGTCTCTAATAGTCAAATAGTCAAGTAGTCAAAGTCTCTCACACTTTGTATCAGTTTTGTATCCTAATCTTCACAAGAAGTATCACTAAAAGATAGTTTATATAAATCCACTCCAATCGGTTTTACCGGAGTTTGTCCCAACTCTCTCCACACTCTCCCACAAGCTATTTCTTTCTCAAATTATCTAGTTCAATCCACTCTGGCAACTCCATGTCAGTAAAATCCAATACGATCGGTTTGTAAAGATCCGTCCAGGTTCCTCTCCTCTCCTCCAATCTCCAGCACTCCACGCTGCACACACACTCTCCGCTCACTCTGATGTTGCACGGTCTGTTCTTGTTTTGTTTTTTATCCAATTCTCTCCACTCAATCCAGTCCACACTTATAAGATCTAATAATAATATTCAAGTCTTTTTAAATTATTCACTATTCTCGTTGCAGTATTCATAAGAATTACCTTCTTCCGCTCTTCTGCTCTCCCTGTACACTCAGCTGTTCAGATTTTTGCGCTGTCACTTTACTTTCAAGATGGCTCCATTCCGATCTATCTTCCGTCACCGCTTATCCCCTTTCTTTTTTCGGATTTCTCTTCCACCAGCGCTACTTCTTACTATCAGGTAGTTTTTTGGGTTTTTCTAAATAATGGTCTTCTGTTGACCTCTTTTAGTTTTCGATCTTCGCTTCCCTCTTATACAGTTATCAGCGCCTCCGGCCAGCCCCGTAAGACTGGTTTTCCCTCACTCTGGATTAAGGGCTTTATCTTGTACCTTCGGAGAAGTTGCGATCTCCTCCAAGGTCCTAAGATGTTCCCCTTTAAACTATTGATCACTACGAGATCAATAGTGCCTGTTTTGGCTCCAGATGCGGGATTGTTAGGGACCCAGGAACGGCGCTTCGCCCCTTTCGTCCCTAACGCACTGAGGTCGCCGCCGGAAATCCGGGGTAGAGCCTTCTCTGTGGGCGCGCCCACCCTCTGGAATCAACTTCCTTGGGTCTTCAATTGGCCCCAGACCTTCGTACCTTCCGCCATGAGCTTAAGACATGGTTGTTTAAACCCCCTAGCCTGGACTGATGGGGTCTACTGTTTTAAATTGGTTTTAGTCTGTTTTAGTCTGTTTTAATGTGTATTTATTGTGATTGTTTCACTGAAGCGAGCCGCCCTGAGTCCTTTGGAGAGAGGGCAGCATATAAGTCAAACAAACAAACAAACAAATAAATAAATAATAATAAATAAATAAATAAATAAATAAATAAATAAATAAAAAATAATAAAATAGATTCAGAGCATAATTTGGGGACCCAATACAAGTTATAACAACCAACTACTAAATTCAGCAATTCAAGCAAGGCAGCAGAAGAATGAAGCTATATATAGCCAATTTCAAGTTATTGACTGCTGATACGGATTGGAATGAAGCTGCCTTGATAGGCAAAGTTTGACACCCAACCAGTCTGAACTTGTTAGACAAGGAGTTTCATGGAATCTGGAACAATTTTACCATCTAGTTGCTGAATAAAGAGCTGTTGTCTGAAACCTGTCTTCACTCTCTTCAATCCACCTATCTAACACTGGTGACGAAGGTGGGATCCTGAAGAAAACACTGGAATCAAAAAGAGCTGACAATGAAACAATCCAGCCCGGCGGCAAAAGCAAATGGTGGCCATCTTGCGCGCCAATTCAAACACGCAGAATTGCGGCAAGCATGTCTGAATTCCATCTGCCGGCACCATTCAACCCAGTGAAGGAGAAATGGGGCACTTATATTTATTTATTATCAAATTTATAGACCGCCCTTCTTCCGAAGGACTCAGGGCGGTGTACAGCCAAAGTAAAAAACATAGATACAAACATTAAAAACAATTTAAATATATATATATATAAATTTGGCTCCAAAATTAAAAAACAGTAACAAAACGTATTAAAAACATTTAAAAAGCATTAAGCCAGCCCGGCTTGCTAAAAAAGGAAGGTCTTCAGGGCACGGCGGAAGGCACCGAGGTCTTGAATTTTTCATATCTCTGGGGGCAGTTGATTCCAGAGAGCAGGTGCCCCCACAGAGAAGGCCCTCCCCCTGGGGGCGACCAGTCTACATTGCTTGGCTGATGGCACCCTGAGGAGGCCCTCTCTGTGGGAGCGCACCCGTCAGTGGGAGGTCATTGGTGGCAGCAGACAGTCTCGAAGATATCCAGGTCCTATGCCATGGAGCGCTTTAAAGGTGATAACCAACACCTTGAAGCGCACCAGGAAGACCACTGGGAGCCAGTGCAGCTCACACAGGAGAGGTGTTATGTGGGAGCGCCATGCAGCTCCCGTCACTACCCGCGCAGCCGCATTCTGGACCAGCTATAGTCTCCAGGTGCTCTTCAAGGGGAGCCCCATGTAGAGAGTGTTGCCGTAGTCCAGGCGAGAGGTAACAAGGGCATGAGTGACTGTGCACAAGGAATCCTGATCTAGGAAGGGCCGCAATTGGCAGATCAGGCGAACCTGATAAAAAGTGTCCCTGGCCACAGCCGTCAGATATTCCTCCAAGGACAGCTGTGTGTCCAGGAGGATGCCCAAGTTGCGAGCCCTCTCCATGGGGGCCAACGACTCGCCTCCAATAGTCAGTGATGGAGTCAACTGACTATATCGGGGTGCCGGAAACCACAGCCACTCAGTCTTGGATGGGTTGAGCCTGAGCCTGTTCCTCCCCATCCAGATCCGCATGGCCTCCAGGCACCGGGATATCACTTCAAGGGCATCATTGGGGTGGCCCGGGGTGGAGATGTACAGCTGGGTGTCGTCAGCATACTGGTGGTACTTCACCCCGAAGCCACAGATGATCTCACCCAGCGGCTTCACATAAATGTTGAACAGAAGGGGCTAGAGAACCGACCCCTGAGGCACCCCACATATGAGGCATCTCGAGGTCGACCTCTGCCCCCCTGCCAACACAACTGCAACCGGTCCGAGAGAAAGGAGGAGAACCACCGTAATATGGTGCCCCCCATCCCCAACTCTTCCAACTGGCGCAGCATGGTACCATGGTCGATGGTATGAAAAGCCGCTGAGAGGTCTAACAGGACCAGAACAGAGAAGCAACCCCTGTCCCGAGCCCTCCAGAGATCATCTACCAATGCGACCAATGCCGTTTCCATGCTGTACCCGGGCCTGAAGCCTGACTGGAATGGATCTAGATAAGACGTTTCCTCCAGGTATTGTGGAAACTGTCATGCGACCACACTCTCAACAACCTTCGCAACAAAGTGAAGGTTGGAGACAGGACGATAGTTGGCTAACACTGCCGGGTCCATGGAAGGCTTCTTGAGGAGAGGCCTCACCACCGCCTCTTTCAAGGCCGTGGGGAAGTAATCCTCACTCAGTGAAGCGTTGATAATTCCTTGGAGCCAGCCTCGTGTAACCTCCCGGGAAGCCAGTACTAACCAGGAGGGACACGGGTCATATGACAAGGTTCGGGTGCTTCATGGAAGCGAATGACTTCCTCAGAATGTCGGACAACCAGAAAAAAGCGCTGTTCCTGAGCCACTACAGGCATGACATGTTCGACACCGCTGAAGCCCTGTCTGAACCTACTCCGGTACAATCCGTACCATGGCAAGTGCTACAAAACGCACTAAAAAACCACTATGCTCCTGTCCCATAAAAAAACAGTGAGGTGCGGACTTCCTGTGATGTCACAGCAGCCGGAGGAGGCAAGGGATTCTTCTCCCGAGCCGATTCTCCTTTCGCTGTACCCAGCGGCTTCATTGAAGCTTCTTTGAAGCCAACACCGAGTGGGAAAGCTTGGTGGAAAAGAGGGGAGTTTGCCAGCTCCATGTGGAAAGTGCAGGCTGCACGAAGAGACTGAAGTTCCTCCCCGATGTCGGCCCAGTGAGAGGATGCCTGTTATGGCGCCCTGAGGCTGTGGCTATACTGCTTGAGGAAGTCTATTCATCCAAACCAAACTAAAAGACTGATTCGGTAATTTGAGACTGGGATTCGATTGGAAGCCACAAGGTAGTGGAGTTTAAAATCTTTTCTACTCCCAGAGCCTAAACTAAGTGAGATGGCAGTGAAGTTAGTTGGCAGTTTGAGAAGATTATCAACCTTGGATTATAACTGATTACTGCGATCTGATTTCACCCTGTTTTTACGACTGGTGAATTTTGAATTTTGACTTACTGTTTGGGAATGTGATCCCCCACAGACCTTGAAAGAAAGAGTGCTGTGCTTCCTTTGATTTTCCTATCTTTGACTTAGTACTAACATTTTCTGTTTTTGAAAAACGCCATTTGTATGAGCAATCACTTTTGAATTTGCTTTCGTTGCAGGAAGAGCTGGAGAACTGGAGAAGTTGGTGTCTGCTGCCATCTAGTGACCAAAATTGCTAACTACACCTAGGTTCATTATAGTTGGACTTCCCCCCCCTTTTTTCCCTTTTCCTTTCCTTTCCTATTTCCTTTTAGATAGCCAGTAGGAATTAGATAACCAGTAGGAATTAGTGAGCAAATTTACCCCTAGTGTGGTTTGGACATTGGACATAGCGAAGTAAGAGTGAATTTTGATAGGTAGTGAAACCATTTGGTGTTGTATGATTGCTTGGAAAGACTTTTTAGGAATATCCAAAATGGCTACCGTGACTACTACTTTGAAGAAGAAGGCAATCACAACCTCTTCAGCCTCATCTCCAGCCACTACCTCTGTGACACTACAAAGATCATCTGAAGACGTGGCTACTCCGGGAAAAGCATCGACGCAAGATATTCTCCAGTCTATGCAGGAAACATTAATTAAAAATCAAGATTCAACATCAAAAACCTTGGAAGAGCTGAAGAGGAATGTCGAAACGTTAACTACTGAGACAAGGTTGTTTCATGCAAAGTTTGAGGAGGTCCAAAATACTTTGACTAATCATGAGGAACGGATTCAAGCTTCCGAGAAAGTGACATGTAGGATGGAGCGGCTCGAACTTTGGCAAGCCTTGGCTAATAAAAAAATCGAGGAAGAGATTATCTTCCTCGAAATGAATAGATCTGGCTACTTCTTACGGTTTCAGAATGTCCCTGAAGAGAAAGGTGAGCACTTGGATGTACTAATGGGAGAGATTGTTGCAAGAATTACTGGAAGAGATTTTGCAGAAGTTTCAAGAGATATTGACGATGTGTACCGAGTATATACCAGCTATGCTCGGCGCAACAAGCTCCCTAAAGAGATCCATGTTCGATTTACTAGAACAGCACTAAGAGATGAAGTGTTTCGGAAAACGAGGGACCAAGCTTTTACCTACAAAGATAACCGACTAACAGTATTGCCCCAGCTCCTGAGACGAGTACAAGACATTCGGACAAAATATGACTTTTTGACAACATGGTTGAGGAAACAAGGGATACGTTATCGTTGGCTTCTACTGGAAGGCCTGATGTTTACCTGGCAAGAACAGAGGTTACGATTGGAATCCGTACAGGAAGCGCAGGACTTCGCGGAGGCCTATATTAATCTTAGTGACCAAGAGAGTGAAGGTGGTAATCTAGGTAAGAGCCAAGAAGAGGTAGCCCAGGAAACAACAGCACAGAGCATATTGGACATGACAAGGACACAGCCCAATCTGGAGAAGAAAGAGGAACAAATTTCCAAATCGAGACCAGATCCCAGAAACTCAAGAACGCAGGTAAGTAGAGGTATGGATGAGGTGCTCAACCTGTTTTCCATTAACATCAATGGCCTGAATGCTCCCACTAAGAGGAAAAAGGTCTGGGCTAAACTTCAAGAAGATAATTATGATATTATATGTTTACAGGAGGCCCACATAAGGAAAGACCACTCTAAGATTTTAATTTATCCTAAACTGGGGAAGTTGTATGTATCCTTGGCCGACCAGAAGAAAAGGGGAGTTGTTGTTTACAATCGGAGAGGCCTGGTGAAACGTCAAGAGTATGCAGATATAGAGGGTAGGATACTGATGTTAGAGATTAGTATTGGCCAAAAAATAGTATTGTTAGTAAATACATATGTCCCTAATGTTAACCAAATGGGTTTCTTTAAAGATTTGTATAAGAAAATTAATGAATTAAATTACGAGCATGTATGCATAGTAGGTGACCTCAACGCGATTGCTGATACTTCAATTGATTATGATCCAGGAAAGGGCTCTCCTAAATATAAAAAAGGGCATAGGAAGGTACTCCCTAAAACATGGGATAACCTAAAAACAGAAATAGGGTTAAGAGACATCTGGCGAGACTTCCATCCTATGCAAAAGCACTTTACATATTTCTCCCCCAGGCACAGATCATGGTCTAGGATAGATATGGTCTGGTCAACATCAGATTTGAAAGAAGACATAAATTCAGTTGAAATAGGGACGAATATATGGGCAGACCACCACCCCCTGGTAATAAAATTTAAGGGGTCCACTAGAAGAGCGAGATGGTCTATGAGGGCTGAGATCATGAGAGACGAGGGATTTATAAATATGATTTAAAAAGAATTAGATCATTTTTTTACCGAAAACAAGAGGGAAGATATTTCCCTTCAAAATATTTGGGATACTGCTAAAGCAGTAGTTAGGGGATTGGTAATAAAATATACAGCTACCAAATGGAGAAAGGAGAAAGCCAAATGGATTGAGTTAATGGCTGAATTGGAGAAAACTGAAGGAGAGCTGAGTTTAGATCCACATAATAATTGGATTAAGGAGAAAATCGACTTGATTAGGCATGAGTTATCTATCCTAGATCAAATTTGGCGAATAAAATTTGGAAATGTCGACAAAATCAATTTGAGCATGCTAACAAGCTGGGCCAGTGGTTGTCATATAGATTAAGAGGCAGAATCTAGAAAGATTGAATTTTTACAAGACTCTATGGGAAATTTGGTAGGTACTACAGAGCAAAAAGCAAAGGTGGCCCAAGATTTTTATACCTCCTTATATAGCCAAGAAATCTATCAGGAAGATAAACTTAAGAGTTATCTCCAGAATCTACAATTGGAGATGATTCCGGATCATTGCAAAGAAATTTTAAATGCAGAAATTACAGTTGGGGAAATTGCAGTAGCTATCAAGAAACAAGCCAATGGCAAAACTCCGGGACCGGATGGGATTCCTAGTGAATTTTATAAAGGAGTTTTTGACTCACTTAGTTTGCATATTAAAGATCTATTTAATGAGGTTTTACTATACTCTAAGATACCCCGGTCCTGGACGGAAGCCTACATTTCCCTAATCCCGAAACCCAAAACAGATAAAACTCTGATCCAGAACTATAGACCAATCTCGCTCCTGAATGTCGATTATAAGATTTTTGCGACAATACTGGTTGAGAGACTCCGGGTGTTCCTGTCCCGATTTATCCACCAAGACCAGAATGGTTTTCTGCCTCATAGGCACCTAAGAGATAATGTAAGGGTGGTATTGAATGCCTTAGAATACTATGAAACACACTCTGATAAACCAATGGTAATGATTTTTCTGGATGCCCAAAAGGCCTTTGACAGTCAGCTGGAATTTTATAATACAACAATTGGAAGTGATGGGTTTTGGGCCTCAGTTTACAAGGGCAGTTCAAGCCATCTATTCTAAACAGTCGGCAAGGCTATTGTTTAATGGATCACTATCAGATGAGATACAGATTTATAAAGGTACCAGACAAGGATGTCCTCTTTCACCGCTGCTATTTATTTATTTTAACACTTGAACCACTTCTTAAGATGATCAGGCAGGATTCGGAAATTAAGGGCTTAAAAGTTAAAGGGGAAGAATACAAACTCCAAGCATTCGCCGACGATTTGGCTTTCATATTAGAAGATCCCCTTAATACGGGACCAAAATTACTTACTAAATTAGATGAATACGGGGAGGTACCGGGATTAAAAATCAATAAGAATAAAACCAAAATGTTAACAAAAAAATTGTCAGGTGCCCAAAAGGAACAGATCCAAAGTATTATGGGGATTAATTGTGTCAAAAAACTTAAATATTTAGGTATTTGGCTTACAAATAGATGTTCTTCTATCAAAGACCTCAATTATTCTAAATTATTAATAGACACAGCGAATGAAGTAGAGAGATGGCGGCATATTCAAATCTCACTTTTCAGTAGAATTGCCGCGATAAAAGGCGATGTTTTACCGAAATGGATCTTTTTATTTCAAACGGCTCCTGCAAGATTGGATAAAAATTTTTTTAGGAAATTAGACCAAATTCTAAGTAAATTTATTTGGCAAAGTAAAAAACTCTGTATAAAAAGAAAAATGCTGCAAGAGCACAAAACAAGGGGCGGTTTGGGGCTCCCTATGTGGGAGCTTTATTACCAAGCTTCATCCCTGGTTTGGATAAAAGATTGGGTGATCCTCTCAAGAAAGCACATTTTAGCAATTGAAGGATATGATTTGCAGCAGGGATGGCATTCCTTCTTGTGGTCTCAGAAAGACAAACAATCCAAATATTTTACAAATCATTATATTAGAGGAATTTTATTTTTTATTTTTTTTATTGAAAAGTTTTATAAGAAATACAAACAATTTTCTCTCCCCCACCCTTTCCCCCTCCCCACATAACAGAAAATATACATTTTCTTATACATAATTAATCCTACATATACATGTTTCCCTTAAAGAAAGCATTAAAATAAAACATTTTAATTACATTCGGAGTTGCTCTTCTCTTTCTTCCCTCATTCCACAACAAACCTTCTTCTTCTCCTCCTTTCTTTCCCTTCCCTCCCTCCTCTTCTCTCCTACTTTCTCCTACCTCCTCTCCTACCTCATCCTACTTCCTTTTCCTTTCCCCCACTTCTCTCTTCTTTTCCCTCTTCTCACCTTCACTCCTACTCCTGTCCCCTTCCCTTCCTCCTCTCCTTTCTTCCATTCCTCTCCCTCCCTCTCCCTTCCCTCTCCTCCTCTCCCCTTTCTAACTTCTTTGCTGTGAAATATTCTCCTCCTTTAGTATCTGAGCAACTCCTATATTCTAATCATAGATACTTTCTTCTGTTAAAACATTTCTCTATTCACCACTTTTTTCCCATCCCAACCCGTATCCCACCCTCCTCACCCACCCCCCCGACTTCCCAGAGCAAAAACAGGGTATAGCATCTAACAAACATATGCTAAAATAAACTAACTAATTATAAAGTTCAAAACTCCCACACGTTGTTTAACTCCCCTTGCTCCAATTCATCAACCTCCCTTTTATAAATTCTCACAACCAATTAAGTTAAATTCATTCTTCCTAATTATAAAAAAACTTTTTCTTGATGTATAATCCAATACTTTAACAGTATTACAAACAGTAAAAATCATGAATAAATTCCATTTCCATACCCTCAAACATCATTCTTTTTGAACATTACTCCCTAATAAAATTCTGAATTTAACATTAATCCTCTTTCCTTCAGAAAAATTGGGCATCTTGAAATCTTACACATTTTCTCTCCTATATCTTTTAAAATAATATAATCTTATGTTAAACATTCTAAAAATCTCTTAATACCATCAAAACACTTATTTACCAAATATGAATTTCAAAATCTGCAGGAGGATATCTTTCAGATTTTCAATTAACCATTTTAATACCTCTAACTTTTTTAAAAAGCAGCCCTTTTACTATCCAAAACTAATTGTCATTTTGTAATAGGATTCTGAATTTAACATTAATCCTCTTTGCTTCAAGAAGTTGGGCATCCTGAAAGCTTTCCCAATTTATCTCATATGTCTTTTAAAATAATATAATCTTGTGTTAAACATTTTAAAAATCTCTTAATACCATTAAAACACATATTTGCCAAATTCAAATTTCAAAATCTACAGGAAGATATCTTTCTTAATCTTCTGTTCTTCTTTCTATATTTTTTCCAATCCTTTTTTTTAATAAATTCTTTCAACAGTCTCCCCAATTTTATTTTTGAAAATTTTAAAATGTTGATTTGAGGTTGATGTTTCTGAAATACTCGCTCCCTTCTTGAGGTCACATTTTCTAATTTGAAATCCCCATTTTGACTCTTCTTGCTTGTATAATCATTCAGTCCATTCCTTTGTCCATATAGCCAAAATTTGTTGCCATAAAGATTGTCAGCTTGCAATAAAGAGTCTATTTGTTGTTTTTCTATCAATTGAATGGAAACGTCTGCCAAAACCATTGTTTCAACTGTGCCAGCCTGCCTTGCAATCCTGACAGCCTCTTGCTTTTCCAAAAACAAACTCCTCTGAGTAATTTCCTGCTGGCCCTCCAACAACTGCTTATGTTTTCCCAAGCTGTTTTTGGAAAAAGCTCTTTCAATCGTATCCAAAAGAGCAGAATTAAAAGAGTCTAAAGATTCTTGAAAAACCTGAACAATCACAGCTTGAGAATTTGCTGATCCCTCCAACAACTGTTTATGATTTTCCAAGCTGTTTTTTGAAAAAGCTCTTTCAATTGTATCCAAAAGAGCAGAATTAAAAGAGTCTAGAAGTTCTTGAAAAACCTGAACAGTCACAGCTTGAGAATTTGCTGATTCACCCCTGATGTCAGCCATATTTCAGCCACTTTATATTCATCCAGCTATCAGGACGACAATTCCAACTATTTTCCACACAGTATAAAAGCAAGCTTTTAATTAAAGTCAGTACCAAATTCTTTTCCTCGATACCAAATTCTTTTCTTGGGCGCTTCCACTTTAAAACTTTCTCTTAAGGTGTAATCCAGTAGCTGTATCACTGTTGCAAACGCTAACAAGCGTTAACAAGCACTTTCCCTAGTAGCTTCCTCCTCCCACTCAGACACCATTTTCTGCATTTTAAAACGGAGTTAAAGTGTTACTTGCAATTTTTTCCTTTTTTCTCCTGATTTGCTCTGTCTGCAATCGAAGTAGAGATGTTAAAAGTCCCCCCACTTGTTTTCAGCAGATTTTGGTCACGGCTTCTAGCTCCGCTTTAGCAGAGTTGTCCCTGGTCCGGAGCAGCTTGACAGGCTTCAATAGGGAGCCCAGACCCTTCGCGTCCCAGGATTTCTCCTGGCGCACTTGGGGGGCTCTACCCCCGCCTGTCGGCTCTTCTCTCTCCCCTTTGCCCGGGGAGAGGGTTTTTCACCACCAGACAGCTGTTTTTCGGCTGTTCTGGCGGCATTTACGGTGCCGGGGATCGGGCGCTCATGAGAGAGCGTCAGCGAAGCTCGCAGAGCTAACAGGAAGTTCCTATATTAGAGGAATTTTATTAAGGGTTTGGGAAATGGTGAAGAAGCAAGTTTACACACAGATTCCTAAATGGGTGTCTCCATTAGAGGCAGTGGACCCTTCCGACTGTGCACAACAGAAAGAGGAACTGGGTTTATGGTGACTTGTTGGATGAAGTCAGGAGACTTAGACCTAGACCCGATCTCCAAACTAGAGGATTAGATATAGATTGGTGGTCCTATGCGAAAATTCAAACTAGATTCTCTAGGGATAAACAGGAACATGGTATTTCCCTTCATTTACAAACTTTTGACAAGCTTCTCCTATGTGGCCGACGAAAATTTATTTCCAACGTTTACAATTTTGTTCTGT